ACGCCTTCAAAAACCCATAAGTTACGTGTCTTCCAAAGCCACCATAATATGTACACGGATAACTGTATCCTCTCCTTCACAGCTTCCCCTCTCTTGAAGTCTCCCATTTTTAACCACCAAACTCTGAAATTTTGCTCAACTTCACCTTCTTTGTGCCATGAGACTGGAGCCAGCTTCCAAGCTAGTCTTGCCCTTCTACAGTTAAAGAAAATGTGTTCTTCACTTTCTTCATCCTCCCCACACATTGGACAGATTTTATCATTTTGGATCCTTTTCTTCCATAAGTTCAGTCGAGTGGCCAGGCAATTGTTCAAACAGCATCAAAGAAAATGTTTCAATTTGTTATTAGATTGAATAGTTTCTTGCTCTACTAGTAGCAATGTTAATAGTAGATGAGTAGGCAAAATTTAGAGTAAAATTATTGGGGTTCCTCCATTTTTCGGTTATTATCCTATATTGTTTAGGTGGGTTAATTGCATTTAAAATCTTAATCTTTTGTTTAATTGCAAATAAAATTCAACCTTTTCAATTTGGCAAAAAATATCAAATTAAAGTATTGCAATTGTGTCTCAAAATCAGTTCCTGGCCAAGACAAGTCGGAAAAACGAGCTCGAGGGCGGATGTGCACAGAGGGTCGCCGGAAATGGAGCTCACAGCTGTGCTCGAAGGAGGTCGCTGGAAGTCGAGCTCACGGCCGGAAGAAGCTTGCCGGAGAGAGAACGTTGTGGAGGTCGGCCGGAAATTTACGAAGAAGATGACCGGAACAGTCGTTGCCGAAAAAAGTCACCGGTTCTGGCGAAGGTGGACGTCACTAGATGCAGCTTTGCGAGAGGAGTTCAACGGTACCTTCGGATTCACGTGGTTTAAAACGAGTCATCGAGAATTTGTGAAAGAACGCCGGAGAAAATTTGTAGATCTACGAGTTTTGACCAAAAAATTGGAAGCCTTATCGTCGGAATTCTTTCGTGAAACTCGGATATGTTGTCGTCACGGAGGAGAGCTACAAGATCATGTAAAAATTTTCAACATCCGACGAAGTTGACCGGCGACAGGTGGCGGTTGGCGGCGGTCCAACGGTGGCGGAAGGTGATTGGCGGCCAGAAACTGATTTTGAGACACCATTGCAATAGGTTTGCTATTTTTTTGCCAAATTGAAAAAGTTGAGTTTTATTTGCAATTAAATAAAAGATTATGATTTTACATGCAATTAACTCTTTTATTTTTCTCATTAACCTTCCTAATCAATGACGGCTTAATCAATGACATATTCTTTGTTTTGAAAAATCATATTGTTTGACATTAATTCAATTGTCTCTCCATGTATTGTAATATTTCAAATCCTTTGCTTTCCCCGCAAGGTCGCCAAAAATTCCATGTTCTCAAAAAACCTCAAGTGACGAGCTAGATTTGTGGATCCATCATAGATAATGTTGAGCTCTCGGAATCCATTCAGCAGGTCGGTGTCTAAGATCATCTGGGCAAAGGGATGCCCACGAGCTCTCTCCATTTTCTTTCCTTCGACCTTTGCCTGTAACTTCCTGATATGTTCCGCCATGCTCTCCACTGCAAGGTCACGATGGGCTCCTCCAACCGTGCTGCTCGATATCTATGCATATGTTTCCTTTCTCGTCATTGTAGTAACGGTTACTGCATTCGACATATGCTGCTGGACGCATCTAGCTGCAACGTCATCGGCTATCATTTGGTTAATCTCCTCCTTTGTCAGTGTGACAACCTGTTGTCCTGCGGGGACCAGTCCAACGGCAGATGGTCCCATTTGCTCGACCTAGACCAGATTTGGCTTCGCGGAATGCACAGGGATGATCTCAGCACTTTGTCCACCTCCAAACTAGTTAATATGTCCTCCAACAGCTATATGAGTAGATGAACCCACTAAACCCAAGGGATGGGCAAGGGTCATCGACATCTGGTTCGATCTTGAAAAGCCTGATGGCAGGAATGCTCCCAATGATCGCTTGGAGACTCAAGCCTCGTCAAAGGTGGACTGCAAATTTCTCTTGGGATCGTCACTCGCCATCACTACACTAAAAATTGGCCTAGGTGACTACCTTCAAGTTGTATGAATCGGCTGAAAAATCGGTAAGGCAGGCGCCTAGGCGCTCTTAGGCAGGCTCGACGATAATATTTTAGGGTAATTGTTTATGGATTCAACTATTTTATTTGTTTTGTTTTTTAACTATAGTTAATTTTAAAAAATGGTGGTATGGTTAGTTGTTAGTGGATATATTAATTAATATTTAAATAAAATAATTAAAGTTGATTTGATGTAAAGTATGAGAAAAATGATTAGAAATGATAGTTAGATAAAATTATGTGAGTGGATGAATAGTGAATTAAAGTTGATGTGATGTGTAAGAATGATTGGTTGATATTATTTAATTATATTGATAATATGGGAAATAGTGAGGTTGGATTAAAGTTGAGTTAAATTTGAGTTTTGATTGATTTTTTTAATGTACAACCAATAAACAATTGCCCCCTAAAATTTTTTTAAATACTAATTACATTATTTCATTATCATGTTTTTTTATAATATATTAATTTTATTGTTTGGATTTAGGTGTGTGGATTTATTATAAGTTGAGATAATTTTATTTTGTAAGTAATAGAAAAAAAAATTCAGACATTTAATTTTAATTTCTAGGCCCCGCCTAGGCGCTAGAGGCTGGTCAAACGCTTAGCCGGTGCCTAGAGACTTTTAGAACACTGCTTGCCATGAATAGTGGTGGTTTGATGACTTTTCGAATTACGTCCCATAGACGATGCCAAAATAGTGTGCTCAATGACCTTGACTTGCTTGAATGTCCTTAAATCCGCTCACTTCTGGTTCAAAGATCTACAAAACAGCGACGGGAGTGATCTCGGTGTAGAGCTTCCGACGATCAAGTCAAAAAGTGTCCGAAGGTCAAGTAAAAAATTTAAAAAAATTGAGAAGTCTAAAAAAGTTTTTAAAAAATTCAATTTCAATTAAAAAGTACTAGTACTACACCCATGTATTTACATGGGTGGGGACGGTGCCTCATCCCAGGTCGTTCATGGACCGATTCATAAAAGTGAGATCGGTATCCAGACAAGTCAAATTCAAGATCGTCCCGGACCGCGCCCACTCCTACCATAAATAATCAACATATTTATAGATAATTCGAACCTAAATATTTTTGGATTAAAAGTTAATTAAATCTAGGAAAAAGCTGGGCGTACAACTTTTGTTTACAACTTTTGTTTACAAACTGATGTGGCAACGCTGAATATGTTTTCCTTGTTTTATTTTACATACATAAATAAAATTAAAATAAAATAGAAAATAAAAGAATTCACGTCTAAACCCGCCAATACCCAAAATCCCTAATCTATCAGAAAGCCAGAAGACACAGTGAGCAGCCATCTGCAACTGAAATACGACCACGATACATTTTCATCTCTCATCATGGAAATGGAAAACCAAAAAATTCACATCTAAACCATCAATACCCAAAATTCGTAATCCATCAAGAAGCCCGAAGACACCACAGAGCAGCCATCTGCAACTGATATAAGACCACGAGACATCTTCATCTATCATAATGGAAGGAGGTGAGAATGAACCGTCACTGGAAGAAAATGTTAATACGGATTGTAGTACGAATAAAGGTACTCCGGAGGCTGGTATGGAATTCAAAGATATAGACGGCGTCTTTGATTTCTATAAAAAATATGCTTATAGTGTCGGTTTTCCAGTTAGAAAAAGAAATTCAAGAAAGAATGATGATGGCGTTTTACGATATGTTACTTTCACATGTAGTCGTGAAGGAAAAAGAATGAGTGGCACAAGGGGCTCACTGAGGTCGCAACCAACAACTCAGACAGACTGCAAAGCTCGAATCACGGCATCTTTAGATGATCGTGGTTATTGGAGAATTAACACAGTTTACCTCGATCATAATCATAAATGCAGTCCAACTAAGTCGAGATTATATCGATGCCATAGAGAATTGAGTGCAAGGGTAAAGCGAAGGCTTGAAGTGAATGATGTGGCCGGAATTCCATTGCATAAAAGCTTTAATTCTGCTGTAGTTGAAGCGGGTGGATACGATAATATGACATTTGTCGAGAAGGATTGTCGTAACTATATCGAAAAATTTAGACGGTTAAGCCTTGGAGAGGGGGACGCAGCAGCAATACAATCATATTTTTCAGATATGCAAGCAAGGTGTGCTGGATTTTTCTTCTGCATGGATCTGGATGATGATTCCCGTTTACGGAATATTTTTTGGGCAGATAATCGAAGTAGAGAAGCATATAAAGAGTTCGGGGACGTCGTCACATTTGATACAACCTACTTGACCAACAAATATGACATGCCTTTTGCACCGTTTGTTGGCGTTAATCATCACGGACAATCGACGCTTCTAGGTTGCGGTTTGATCTCAAATGAAAATACGGATACCTTCGTTTGGCTTTTTCAGACATGGCTTAAGTGTATGCATGGTCAAGCTCCTCAAGGAATTATAACTGATCAAGACAGAGCAATGCAAAATGCCATTCGGATTGTTTTCCCAAATACGAGACATAGATGGTGTTTGTGGCACATTTTAAAAAAATTGCCCGAGAAGTTTGGATACCATGTCGATAAAGGGTCAATTTTTTCAACAATTCATGAATTGGTGTATGACTCTCAAACGGTTGAAGAATTCGAAAAAGGTTGGGAATCAATGACAACAATGTATGCGTTGTGTGACAATGAATGGTTGTCGGGATTGTACGAGAACCGTAGTCTTTGGGTTCCATGCTTTCTAAAAACCTTTTTTTGGGCTGGAATGTCAACTACACAACGAAGCGAAAGCATGAATGCTTTTTTCGATGAGTACGTCCACTCAAAAACATCATTGAAACAGTTCGTTCAACAATATGAAAGAGCATTGAGAAACAAGGTGGAAAAAGAGGTTCAGGCTGATTTTAAGTCATTCTCCCAAATAGTCCCATGTGCAACAACATATGAGATGGAAAAGCAATTCCAAACAGTGTACACTATTTCCAAATTTAAAGAAATCCAAGCCGAGTTTGTGGGTAAAGTTTACTGTGATCTCATTTCTTCTTCAGAAGGTTGTTTTGGGACAACTTACGAGGTCAGAGAAGATTTATTTTGTGGCCACCAACGCAAGAAGAAATCATTTTTTGTCTCTTTCAATAGGGACAAATGTGAAGTTGTTTGTAGTTGTCATCTGTTTGAATTCCGGGGTATTCTATGTCGACATTCAATTGCAGTACTTATCCGTAATGACGTCTCTAGACTTCCTGATCGATATATATTACATAGATGGAGAAAGGATATTAGAAGACCATACACGAGGATTGCTTTGAAATATGACGGATTGAGGAATTCTCCGGGACAATTGAGGTACGACAATTTGTGCACAGCTTTTGCGAAGGTTGCAGGCCTTGCCGCAGACGACGAAGTTCGAGCAGGGCTTATTATGGAATGGATTCAATTGCAAGCACAAGAACTTTCTATGTTAAAACATATTGGTGAAAAAAATATTGACAATGATCCGGCAAGTTTCAAAACTCCATGTAGCATTGGCGTTGGAGATCCGAAGTTGACAAAAAGAAAGGGTGCACCAAGAAAAGTTCGAAAAAAAAGTCCATTAGAGTCGACTTCGAATAAGAAAAAGAAGAAGAATGAGGTATCTTTAAGTATATTCACATTAAGTTAAATGAAATATTAAGAAAATCGCGTTTGTTTTTTTCTTTATATTGTTTTATGTATTTGCAGGCACCTTCAACTAACAGAGGAAAGAGACTTACAAAAGAGTTAATCAAACAAACAAATGAGCCAAAGGTCTAATTTTTTCATTAGTTCTTCATTAATTGTTAAGAATCACTTCATTCAAAATAGTTAAGAGAAAGTTTATGTTACTTGGTGGTATTACAAAATGTTTTTTCTTAGTTGTGTTGTGTTTTTATTTTTTATTTTGTAAGATATTGGCATTGGAGACTGGAGCGGATATTGAGGTGGAAAATCAACCTTCAATGGAGTTATTAACGGAGAGAACAAATTTTACATTCGATACTCAAGGTTAAATCAATTTTTGTACATGTTAATTACTTTGTCATAATGTGTATGTTTAATTATTCAATTTTATGTCGTTTTCTTATAGGTCATGTGATTCAATATTACAACCAGTATTCACCATATCAAATGGGGGACGGGAGTGTTTGAAGACAGTTAGATAAATTGAGGCTTTTGGTTATCAAGTTAAGAAGAAATTATGTGTCTGTTCTTGTTGGTAGCTACTGGATAGTGACTTGTTTCTTGTTGAGTTATTTCCATTGCTTGTGCTTGTTGGTAGCTATTGGATATGAAATTCTGTGTCTGCTTTTATTTTTCAGTTTTTTGCTGCTCATAATCCTGGCTTGTGGTAGTCTTGTTGAGTTATTTCAATTGTTAAGTCATTTCCATTGTTTGTGCTTTGTTGGTAGCTACTGGTTATGAAATTCTATGTATGCTTTGATTTTTCAGTTTTTTGCTGCAAGAAGGATACTCTATGGTTTAGATGGATCCACCATGTTTTACCTCCGGCCAAAATATATTTGGGGGCTTGTAATAGCTACTGGATATGAAATTTGTCCTTATTTTGATTATTCGGTTTTGTTGCTCATAATGCTCATAATCCTGGCTTGTGGAATTTTTAATTTAGGCCTTTCTACTCCAAAAAATCAGATAACCCCCATGATCTCCCATTATCATTCTCAATTTAATTTTCATTCATCAACAAACATTTAGATTCCAATAAACACATCCAATTATTCCACAATAATCATCATGAAATGTAGAAGCAAAATATATATGTTAAACCTCAAAATGTAGTACCAACTATGAAAACATTTGATTATATTTAATAAGTGTGAAAAACATAATACACATTATAATCAGACATCCCAAAACATATCAACTACATAATACATAACCCATTATCAATCTCAGTCACATATCACCATCAACCAGTATGTTTGCAAGGTGTTGGCATTTGCTAGTGTCTCGAAGCTGTACCGGTCTTGTGTGCCAACTTGGTCGAGTTCAGTTAGAATCACGAATGCACTCGAATCGGATAAGCGTTAAGCAAATTATTCTGTATGAAGCAACATGATTAGCTGCTCTTTTGAATATCCACAACAGAAGCATGAAAACCAAATGTAGTCATTGCTTCATACAAACATCCCGTAGCTCGATCCACCATAACAACAACACGCACGGCCCGTAGCCGGACGCTGGAAAACGATGCTGGAGACGACCCCGCTCGCCACGATCAGGCCCAGCCGCAAGCTAGAAAACGAAATTGGAGACGACCCCGCTCACCACGATCAGGGCCAGTCGTACGCGGTTTCTCAAGTCGCCGTTGGAGACGACCCCGCTCACCACGATCAGGCCAGTCGCTCTCGTTTTTTCCAGTCGCCGCGATCAGGCCCGATTTTTCCGCTTCTGATTCACTGACTGCCACCGGAATCGGGGGCTCATCGAGGTCCAAACGAAGATTTTTGCAGATCTTTGAAGTTTTATCTAAATCCATAGCCGTCTCTGGACAGAGTAAATGCCCAAAACTCGTGATACCAAGAAGAAATATTATTTCTAGGGATAAAAATTTATCCAAATTACTCTTCGTCTTAAGATAAATGGATCATTGGAACCTCCGTACCTTTAATTGTTCTTGATTGCGAACGGGATAGTAGAATTGCAAAGATCGAAAGTTCTACTCGATGGATATGTAGAAATTCGGATTAATAGTAGCTGCTTTTGAAAAAAAAAAAAAA